ACTCAACATTACCAATTCACCTGTTAACCAATGTACATCTCACATCTCCTGTGTTCCGGACATACTCAATTCCAAATCAGCCCATATTTCCTAAGTTCCTCTATGTAAATTCCATAACAGTACCTTAAAATTGGTTATGACTGTTTCCTCCCATATCCCTCATGATTCATTTCTCACAAATCATCCTATCATATGTCACTTCGCACCACATAACCTCAGCAGCTGGTACTAATGCCATGGAGCAGTCCTTGGTGAGAAGGAAATAACTGCTCAGCTAGTCACCATCTTCATGGCAGCCTGCCACTGATCTCTATTCTGTGCCTGATGCATCCATTATACACAACATGGCTACTTCTCCCCCTTAGGTCCAAATATTCTCTCCAGGTATGTCAATTAGGCTGAGATCAAGTTTCACACCCATACAAAACAACAGGCAAGACTACATTTTATATGCATTTTAATCTTTATCCTTTAACACAGAATACGAGAAGATAAAAGTTCCTGAACTGAATGGTAACAGCTTTACAAAATAACCAAACAAGTACACATACTGGATTTTATTAAAGGTTACTGTGCACAGATGTTGGTTTAAAAATGTAATTACAAAAAAATACTATTGTCACTGGTACATTTAGTGTCCAAATTCAGTAACTACAATATTCAAAAGCAAAATGTATATTAAGCATTCCAAATACGTTCTAGTTTTTGTCTTAGCTTGGAAAACTCCAAAAAGGCCTAATTTAAATTTGTAAGAAAAAGTTTCGTATAGTATAAAAACAGGAACCTTCACTGTTATAGCATGTGGAAAAGAAAGAACAATACAGTGAGAAATAATTCTTCACTGCTGGTTCTGTTCATCCAAAACATAATTTAAATTAATATTTGACACTGCACATATAAACCCTAGATGTGTCACAAAATTCAGACATTGATTATTAATTATATGTACTACTGGCCCCTCAATATGCAACATGGTCCACCTGTTGATTGTAAGTACCATTTTAATGAGACATGTGGCCAATAAACAAACAAGGTGAAACATGCAACCTACAATAGACAAGAATTCTCAAGTTCATTACATGAAAATGCCTGACTACCAGATCTGCTGCAGGTATCGACAGTGGAATGAAAAATATTTGGGAGAGACCACCTCATAAAAGAATTGGCAAAATTATATATGGGGTATGATTAATCTGTATTATAATGATCTGAAAGTTGAGCACATGGCAAACTTAATTGCAGCTAACCATCGTAAGCACCTAGGATGTGAACCCGTATCTGGGCACTGATACAGAGAAAAGAAAAGGAAGAAAATTTCCTACCTTGTCCGCCATCCTGTGAACTACCCGAATCTTGTGAGAGACCTGGTATTGATGCAAATATTGGCACTGTCCCTGAAAAGAATTACATACATAAGCAAAGACTGTATGTCTTCAGTAAAGATGTCTTCTGCAAATGTAAATATCTTCAAGGGTCAAAGATTTAAACATGAAATGTATTTTCTGATAAAGAACATTTCTAAATATATGCAGATACACAAAAATTAAGTTGTCCCTGTTGCTTAATTAAGCTTCACACCATGAACACAAAGGGGAGAGCAGAGGTTGTCCCATGCACACTTAACTTTGGCACTAAACATAATTGGTCAGCCTCATGCCCTTATTACTTAACCAAAGACTTGTTTATCAAATTTCCTGTTACAGAACCAAAAGGCTTTCATTACTGGCACCGTCTGCCACAGGACCTACACCACTTCTCATTTCAACAACCTATTCACTTAAGATATGTTTTATCTTTACACTTCATTAAAGTTGCTACTTTTCAAGCGATTTCACAACCAAAATTTTGTATACTGTATTTGTATCCCCATACATGCAACGTATTCAACTCCTCTCAATTACCTGGATTTATCCATAATAATCAAATTATGTATAGCATATAACCTTCAGAGAGAAAGCCAAAGTTGCACAATGTCTGTGTTTAGAACTTCATTATGATTAACATATTACCCCACTTAATGTATATGAGTTACAATGAAGGATTATATTATATCACAAAATGTTTCCTGTAGAAAGAAGACAACTCTGTAATGAAAACTATAATAATATGAAAAACAAGATATCCAGCCAATACTTAAACATGTAAAATGATGAGAATCTGTGTGCGAAGAGAGGGAACAAATGTTTGGAAACAAGATTGATAGAATAATCATCAATTTAGCTGGAGTAAAAAAGTATGCATAATTGTCTAATTCTATGGAAGATGCTGCACCAATACAACAGAAGACTGATGTCAAGTACAGAGTCAGTGTTTTTAATCTGAGCTTTCACTTCCATGTCTTGCTTCCACACACTGCCTTTTCTGCAACATCATCCAGGCTTGCAGATATCCCATACCAAATTGCAGCCTACTATCACAATCATCAATAGCAGTGGTATCAGTTCAGGATGGAGCTGTATACTGTTTTACTACAATCGTTTCTCTCAACTGAGAGCCTTCGTGCATTCACTAACACACATAACAAAGTATGTGGCAGAATGTATGAAAAAGTTTTAAAATTGATTATGCTTCTAGACTTGCATGTTAATTAACACACTACTTATCACTCAAAACTTCTCCTGCGTATGGAAAAGACTGAAACAGGGAACCACACATAATCCCACATTACACTCGCTACACATGTATCGAGATTCCTTCCTCTTTCTTGGTTTCATTTTGGAAGATGTGCACACATGACACCTCCTCATTGCAGTCTTCCTGTTAGATGTGCTAGGAACCAATACAGGAAAGTGACGGTCCAGTAGTCGTGACTGGTTTTCAGTACTTGTAAAGCTTCTCTGTTTACATCTTGTTCTGTTGTGTTCATCCAGAATCCCTGCAATAACATACAGTTGAAAACCTGCAAGCAGAATTCTTTCTTGTGGTGCAGGTGAGACACTGCAAGTGCATCAAGGGTGCAATGTCAAGAATATGAATTATCATCTTTGTAAAACATCCAAAACTCTCAAATGTACAGAAACAGAGTGTCATGGTGGTCTGATCTAATGCCATTACAGACGGAAAACAAATCTTGGCTTCTTGTTGTGCTCTTCTGTTTTCCTGTCTACTTTTTCTGTTTTTACCATCAAACTTGTATGAAGGAAGAACAACATTCTCTCATTCTGCCTGTAAAACTAGCTCACAGCCATCAAGAAATCACTGGCCTAGGCATCTACTTCTCCACACAGATGCTTTTGTCACAGATGAAGTATGAAACCCGCATGGATTCTTACATCACAGATGATGCATATTGCCAAAATGCCACATTTTTAATGAACAACAGATAGAGATAATTATTAATAAAGAAATTAAATATAAGCTTTCAAGTTGTGATTAATTGTAGAAATCAGTTTCTTGTACTATCACTGGATAGTATATAAGACACAAAAACATAAAACTTGTCTTGTGCCATAAATGTTAACAAAATATGTTGCACACTGTTACAATTACAATATTTTTAAAGTTATCAACGTGTACATTTAGAGGTGATTATCGGCAACCAACCAACTCCATGGTTCAGAGTCCCTGAAATGCCAACAGGCAGCATGCCAAAAAATTCCCCACCTTCTATTAGAATAAAAAGGTCATTATCATTTTTATATTGCAGCATCCTAATGAGTATGTGTTATAACTTGTTTCATTCAGTTACTTCTATTCATTCATTATTTTGCACAATGTTATCATCTATAATCAATGCAATATTATAGCACTGCAGTTAGATGTGGGTGTTATCTTCAAACATCATGTTTCAACTGTAACAATCATCATCAGGTTCTAATAATAATTCATAAGTCAATGAATATTTGACATAAGGTTTTCTCACCAAAATTGTGTATGTACTTCTCAGCTCTCCTGTGAGCATTATGGATTACAGTGAAACCTCTATCCATCGTTCCCGGAACTATCGTTTTCCCGGATGCATCGTCCGTTTTGTTCGGTCCCAAATACATCCCATAAAAAATAATGTTACATTTTCCCACTTCTATCGTTCCTCGAACTATCGTTTTATCGCATCGATCATTCAAAAATCTTAGTCCCGGCCCACAATTTTCCCGCAATGATCGTTTCTGAGAATTTAAAATGCTGGGTTTAGAGATAAATTAATACCGAAAGACGCATAATGTTTTTGGAATACACAGTAGCGGTAACCTGTTATGTCGCCCAACCAGCACATTCTTTTGGAATGAGGGTCAGTGGTGCAGGGGTGATAGTTGGAGTGAATGGCGGTGC